TCGACCCATTAATTATTGTTGTAGCCATTAGACCGAGAGTTGACCCGGCCGGCAAGTTCTCGATCCGGTTGCCTGCGTCGAGAGAGACGACTCATTAAGCGGCGTGTTCCAGATCAGGCAATTACGGAGCAACTGGTTGGACACACTGAAACCAAGAACTTCTAAACCATAAATATGGGGTGATGCGGGGGAGTTAGGTAGACATAGTCGTGTGAGTTGTAAGAGACGACGTCCCCAGAGTTCATCCCACCAAGTCTTCGTTTGTGAGCAATTTATCAGATGCGCGTGGCCTTTCTAGTCTACGAGTCCACCTGCATCACCTGTCTCCAAGAAAGCCCATTAACTCGCCATAATGGCTGCCCCTAACGCCTGCACTATCGAGAACCTCAGCGGAACATGGACAATGGTACGCGACAGTCTTGTCTGCGGGTCGAGTATTTACTTTCGTACAAGACACTACTAACCGGCGCATAGGACAAATCTAATTCGACTAATGCGGATGCCATGCTTGCTTTGGTAAGTCTTTTCTAGTGGCAAGATACGTACCCCTGACCGTAGACCAAGTCTTCCATGCCCACCTCCCAACCCCCCTCCATACCCTCCCTCCACTACACCGAGATAGAATCCTGCCCAGACATTGTCCAAGAAGTGTGCTCTCGATACTATACGATTGAATGGAGGGTTGACTCTGCCTGCAGCAAGGCATCAACTGGGTCGTACGAAGGGCTATCGGACTCGCCGAGGTGACTGTGAAGAAGCATCAGTTCGTCAGTAACCACCCGGGAACGTCTACGCCGAGGGTACAAATCGCCATAGTGCAGACCACCAGCACCGGCATGGGTGGAACTTTGGATAATAGATACCTTGACTGGTCCGAGAACCATCAGGAAGACCGGCTCTTTGGAAACACCAAGGTCCAGACTCGATTCATTGGTGGATCCTCGTCTGATGGTATGGTCCTTCCGGATCTGGAGCTGCAAACGCCTATCGATGACCCCAACATCTTGAAATTTCTCCGAGGAGAAATTGGGGACAATCTGGAGCCCTCGGAAGGATATCTCGTCGAGGCACCAAAGGGGGTGTTTCCTGGCGTGGTCAACGAGGAGGGTCTATGGATTCATGTCTTCATCCGAAACCAGACGGGCTTGTGGAGAGTCGAACAGGTCTGTCACCCATCCGAGCAGCCTATTAGTTCCAAGTGGAATGTTTTATCTGGGGATGAAATTTGGCTTCAGTTGCATTATCGCTAACGACGTCTCATTAGGTCTGGGGCTTTGAGAATATCAATAACGAGCGCCGGCTCGTCCGCCGCACGGTATCCTCTGATAACAAAGGAAATCATCAACTCGGGAGGCTGGTCTATAACTTTAAAGATAGCCAGTATGAATAAGCCTCCTGCCACCTCTGTAATGCATGGCAAAAGGGGCTTCAGTAAAAGAGTTCATATTTCCAGTAGAAAGTGTTGGGATTGTTGCCACGAAGTTAAATCTCTAAAATACAGACACTTATTCGAGTGGAGAACAGAAAATAAACCATGGTCATTCCCTCTCGACTGTCAGAACAGAACTTTTATTGAGCTTCTTGGAGAAGTACTCTCGTGCCTACGTGTACGATGATGACGATGCTAACATGTTAACATTCTCATTTTACAATCCGTCCCAATTTGCGTGCCGTTTTCGGTATGGTCTCAAAATTTGCAAAACCCCCATATAAGCGATATTTTATCAAAGAACGCTGGGCGCTAGCAGTGACATTGTCCGCCAAGTTGAAGAATATGAGGCTCTCTCGATAGTTAGGTATACGGATACCGCTCCAACTCCAAACTCGTGATAAGGACGAGGTTAATTTCCCTTTTGTGTAAGGCTAGATTATGTAAGTATTGGCCATGTGCTTTTTGTATGGCGATACCTGTAGGGGCTGGTCCAGCTGATTAATTGTCGATTTTGGAAGGCGGTGCTGCTCGCTCCTGAATGGGACTAACTATATTATGCTTATAACCACCAAGTCAGCTGGCGAAGTTGCTTCCAAGATAAGTAGGGATATATCGTTGAACCACTTTTGCTGAGTAGGTAAGGGGGGTTCCCATTTTCGGAAGTGGAATATGCGCAGGCATGGCAATCTCATGATGCAGCACTAAAGTTGTGGTGATGCTACACAGCTGAGTGGAGTGTGGGACTTAACAATTGAGATCAGCGATGTAACAGAGAGTAGAGTGAAAAAATTTAAAGACGAGTTCATGTTTGACCCCTCCTCTCCTCTGCAAGGGTGAATACTCGCACAGCTAAAATACAATGCGTAGCCGCCTGGACGCTTTAACTCTAACCCCTTCCCTTAAATTTGTCCGGCCTTCCCTATATTATCCCTCTCTTGGACAAGCTAAGCGCACTTGAAAGGCAAATTGACAAATCAACTAAGACTTGACCCCCCTTTTCATTTTGATCAACCAATGTGAGGGGCCGTGTCGTGGTTCATGAGCCACCAACCTACTATATCTCACCCCTACATACTACGCTTCGACCAGATGGGCTCATCCATGACATCGTAGATGTGCTCTTTCTGACTCATTCCGACCCCCAAACTCTGCAACCCCGTCATTTTGTACATCCAGAAACCGAACCCGATGGCATTCTCCTTCATCGCCAGAGCCCAGGGACTTGTGTTCTTCCTCATTTGTCCGTTCTCGACTGAAGTCGTTGCGATTGCCTCAACTCGAGGTCGGCGAACGACTTCGTACTCCTTGATCACTTCTGTGACGCTGTGCTCGGTGCCTTCCAGTAACCGCGACAGGAGGAAGACGTCCTCCAGCGCCATCGATGTGCCTTGTCCAGCGTGTGGGGGCATCGCATGCGCGGCATCGCCCAGGAGCAGACAGCGCGCGGTACCCCAAGTCCCCATCGCGGGCATCTTGTAGATGGGGTAGAACTTGATGGTGTCGGTCTTCTGGATGATCTCGCCGAGCTGATCCGCCCAGTCACTCTGGGCCTCGTTGACGAGCTCTAGCAGATTGTCCTTGAAGCTCTGGATCTCTTTGTCGCCAAACACCTGCCAGCCCTCCTTGTTCCCGCCTTCCGGAACCTGGACCTCGCGCGAGTAAAACCAGTACAGCTGGTCGCCGCTCGCTGTGCAGGGCATCACGCCGAACATGCCCGTGTGCGTCAGAGTGGCGTGGAGGGCCGGGGCAATAGTACAGTTCTTCTCGCTCAGACGGGACGTGGGAAGAATGGTGAACATGTTGGCGATGCCCGAGTACTCTGGCACTGCGGCCGGGTTTACATGGAGCGTGCGGACGGCTGAGTGGATGCCGTCGCATCCCAGCACTAGATCGGCCGTGTCTGTAGTGCCGTCCGAGAACGCCACCGAGACCTCGGTGTCGGTCTCGGTGATGCTCATCATCTTCTTGCCGAAATGGACCGGGATGTCGTGCTTCTTGGTGTGGCGCATAAACAGCTGTACAAGGTCGGTGCGTAGGACGCGCATGAACCCATAGCCGATCTTGTCGCGGCTCCACTTGCCCAGGTCGACATCCACAAGAACGGATCCTCGCAACGAATGCAGCTGGAGACCCTGCGCAGATGACGCCAGGGCTTTGAGCTCATCGAGGAGCCCCAGCCTGTCAAGCAGGCGCAGGCCATTGGGGACGATGTTGACGGCACCGCCCAGCGTCGTCAGCTCAGATCTTATCTCGTATACCGTCACGTCGACTGCATTCTGAGTCTTTAACCGGATCGCTGCTGCAAGCCCAGCTGGGCCGCCGCCGATTATGATTGCCTTTGTGGGTTCCCAAGTCAGCAACGTTCCAACTCATAACAATTCCCTATGACAGGGGGAGAGATTTTACCTTCTTGATAGCAGCCATGATATTCACTTTTTCTCAATATTCTGGCAGGTTACGAATATCACAAGTGACAGACGTCTTAACAGTACGTAGTGGTTGAATATGGTAGTTCTTAACCTGCCGACGTCAGAGATGGTACTGGAATCTAAGTAATCAGGCAGCGGAGATCATTTGAAGCTTCCATCTTTTGGCGACGTGAGATGATGAACAGGTCATAGACAAGTGCGAGCCTTGGCCGGTAAATTAGCAGTTGCGGCGATTTCGGTGATTCTGGCGAGCCGTGTGCAGAACCGAACACCAACCGGGGGATCCACCCAAGATGGATATTTTCCTAAACAGGTAATATCCCTTAGCCCCTCGAACTTCACAATCACCTCCAAAATGCCGAACGCTAAAAAAATTCAAATTCAAAAAAGGACATGGATGAGTCATGTAAACCTAGCTTATCCAGCTAAGTTTTAGGTGGTCTTATACGCAGTAGTTACGCATAATTATGCCACGAAGTACCGAGGTCGCCCCGTTCCCAGCTTGAAACATGCCGCCGGACTTGTCGAAGTGTCACGATCCGATCTCCGGGGTCAACGGTCTGACCGGCACAGCGCGAGCGAGCGAGCGAACAAGTCCGCCCCTGACGGCTGGTGGGTCCCAGTAGGATCGGATCGCGAAATTGCCGTCTTGGGTCCTGGTCCCTCGTAGCCCTACCCACCACTCCTCCAATCATGGAGCATGGGTACAGCTGGAAGGTCAAGCTGAGCTGTGGCTCTTCACGAGCTTCCGGCGCTGCTGACAAAGACCCGGCCCGGGATTACTGCGTACAATTGGGTGGGCCCAACACCGCGTTCGTTGTTGAGGCGTGTCTGAGATCCCACAACGCACACTACGCAGAAAACCCTGAAGTGAAACGTCATCTGCCGTCAACGCCCAAGCACTCGCCCATGAATATTAAGCGGTCCTCGCATTTTCACATGTTTGGCAGTTTAGGTTGTACTCCGGGCAAGACCAATTCCACGGTCTGTCTACGATGAAGCTGGGCAGAGACTTTTCGAAGCCGGGCAGAATTACCGAAGCACGCAACATGACAGTTTGACAGGGTGACGGACAGTCGCAACACCTTGTGTTCGAAGCGGAGAGTCGATGCATAGCTGCATTTTGTCACCAATAACAGGTCTCGTTATCTCAGTGGTAGAGCGTGGGATTGCAGTTCCACAAGGACAAGTAATTCATCCTAAGGTCAGGCGATCGAACCGCCTTCGGGACTCTTACTTTTGCTCCAGGGAGGACGGCGGACGGTTGCTTTTTGCTCCCGTGACAGATCGGGATGTGTGTGTGGTTGGAGACAGCAGAGATCAGAGTTGATCCTGTGTGTGGTGTGCAAGCTAACAGATTTCTACGGTGGCACGGAGGCTCTGGGAGTGGAGTAAGCGCCGTTGCACAACGGATTCACTGTCAGTATGAATGCCGTTTAATTTTAAGTCGAGGTACGCCCCTGAGGGTGACGATTATCCCTCTCCCAGACAAGCTACCAGTCGGTAATAGCCACAAGAGCCCGACGTCGTCTATCAATACCTCAAAACATGCTCGTTGCACTCGATGCACCATGGACACTGGACGACTGTCTTGTATTTCGACCCTTAAAGCAAACGCTATCCATACTATATGCATACAACTTTGTCACCCTGCCGTGAGATTTCCCTAACCACTCGCCGGCCCTACTAGCTCCCTGCGATGGAACTTGAAGTCAAAGTTCTGCTGCTTGATGAACTACGCGTTGATGAGCTCCCACTCGACCCGCGGGTCCTTGAACTCAATCTGCACGAGAGCCACATAATACTGTCAGCATCTTCCACCCATCAAAAACTCACAACACACGAGACAGGAAGGAAAGACAACGCAGGGACCTCGCCTCAAACCTCCGCAGCAGACTCGGCACGAACTTGTAAATCTCGAGCAGGCTGATGTTCTTGCCGATACATGTCCGGCTGCGCATGCCGAACTGGAACATGAGCCCGTTCATCTCCTTTATCCGCTTCTCCTCGCTCTCCCTGGTGCGCGCGCCCGTCTCGTCCGCCAGCCACCGCTCCGGCCGGTAGACATCGGCGTCGGCGCCAAAGATCTCGGGCCGGTGGTGGATCACCCACGCCGAGGTGCCGACGATGGTCCCGCCGAGCACAAACACGCCGTCAATCTCGATGCCCTGCACGGGCACGATGCGCTCCAGCGGCAAGCCGGCAGCTGGGTGCATGCGGAACGCCTCCTTGACGCAGGCGTCGAGGTAAGGCAGCTTCTGCGCCTCGGGCCAAGTCGCCAGCCCCGTCCGGGGGTCCGAGAACCCGCCGTCGCGGGCGAACTGGTCAATTTCGGCGCGCAGCCTCGCCATGGCGTGCGGGGTCCGGAGCAGGTACTAGAAGACGGCGGCCGGGGAGATGGCGGTGGTCTCGGACCCGGCAAAGGCCATGGACCCGGCCATGGTTAGGTTCATCCGCGCACGGGCGAATCGGGCCACGTGGAAGGTCGCGTCGATGACGCCCCACTGCGCGAGCTTGAGATATACAGGGTTTTTGAGGAGGAGCTTGTCGAGCCAGGGGATTTGGACGATCTGTTCGATCGGGTTGTCAGCACTCTATTTATATTCTATCAAGTATGATAGGACGGGAGGAGAGGAAGGGAGGACACCGGGGAAATGGAGAATGCTTACCGGCGCCACATAGCAGAACAGCTTGGACAGGTACGCCACGATCCCGTCAATGTCCTCGTTCTTCTTGATGAACCCGTGGCGCTTGCCGTAGGTGATCTCGCCGATGACGTCAAAGGCGTAGAACTGTAGCCAGCGGGGAAAGTCGCACCCTTGCGAGTTGTCCGCGAACAGGCGCTCCGTCTGCGACAGGAACAGCCGCGTCGTGTTGTCGACAAAGGGCTCGTACTGGACGAGCGCGGACATGGAGAACGCCGCGTTGACGCAGCGCCGGAAGCGCGCGTGGAAGGCCTCGTCGGTGGTACTGAAGAGCGAGGCGAGCGAGTGTCCGTTCATGAGGGCCTGCTGGACGACGTAGAAGTCGGACTGTGGCCATTGTCTCGTGTGTCAGCGGGCGTGCACTTTCTGCCGAGAGAAGACAACAATTGTTCTGAGCCGGTAAAGACCAACCTTGATCATGCCCTTGTTCAGCCCGTAGATGGTCTTGAGCGCCTCCGGGTTGGCAAGGGACAGGCTGTTGGGCCCGAGCCGCGCGACGTCGCCATACTTTGCGTGGAGTGCAGCAAGGAGAGGTATTGAGACTGAACAAGCAAAAGAAGGTTGAGATTCAGCACTTCGAGAAAAAAATCAACACTGGTCAATCTAGATTAGATGAGCTTGAAGCTTCAGCGCAGCAGCAAGAAGGAGAATTACGCAGATGTGACAGCGCGGACCAACAGGGGATTGTTTGGGCTGGGAAGGCAGGATAAACAAGGCCGTAGTATTAGGCTAAGGATAAGGGCAGATCTGCGAGGGGTCATAAGCCTCCTTATATAAGTAAACGGTTACGTTAGTAAGGCTGTATAGGATTACTGGATCACGAAGTGAGCTAGTGAGTAGGACGACTAGATCACAGGATCACGACGTAAGCCTGTGAGCCTCACGACCGCCGGTCGTGAGCCAGCGAAGAGCGATAAAGGGCAGAGGCGTATATAGTATAAGCAGGTTCCCTAGACAGATAGTCCTAGCCTTTACACTTTAGCGATCAATCTAAGTATTATTCTTATATATCACTTAAACCAGTCACTCAATTGACGAGAGTAGTATCTCTTCTAAGAGACACGATAACCCTAAGAGACGAACGATATTCGATAGGAAGTGATATTATATTAGCTTTACCTACCGGCAGAACAGCAACCCAGCGAAGCCCGACCAGACGGTTAACCCCGGAGGTCGGATCGTGACAATAAGCTAAGAAAACGGACTTAGAAAAGGTCTATTTAAAGAGTTATAAGGTCCTATTCTCTCTTACCCTAAGTGGAAATCGGACCCGTTTTTTAAACCCCGCTATATCAGTACTCGTTTATAAGTATCTCTTTATATTATTTAATAGTACTTTCAAGTGACTTCTGGGGGTCGCTTGCGGACGCCGTGGTGGCTGTGGGCGAGTTTATCGTCAAGGTGGCCACAGCAGTCGTCGACTTTGTGGGCGAGGCGTGGGACGCGGCGATGAACCTGGCGCCCACGTGGACGCCGACGGCGTCGTTCCGTGACGTGTTCGACATGCGGCCGCACGCCGCGCAGCTTGACGAGTCGCCCTGGGGCGACGCATACGAGATGTTCAAGTTCGAGGACTTCAAGGGGTCGGCCAACTACGGCATGAACCTGGGCGTGCTGGCCAAGTTGACGGGCGCAGACCAGCTCGTGACCATCGAGATTGGCGGGCTCGAGGAGATGCCCAAGCCCGGCGTGACCGTATGGTGCGTCAAGTGCTTCGCCAAAGGCGACATCAAGGTCACGGGCTCGGCCACGTTCAGCGCCGCCGGCCTGCGCAGCATCAAGCTGGGCTTCGACGGGTCCATCGAGGCGCAGCTGCAGCTGGGCATCAACGCGTACATGGAGTACGAGAAGCCCATCCTCAAGTTTCGCCTGCTCGCGATCCCGCTGCTGGGTTACTCGGTCCACGACGTCACCGATATTGGCGTCGTGGCCACGCTCGACTTCGACGCCAATGTGAAGGTCGAGGCCCTCGGCCAGATGCTCGCGGGCATCGACATGCAGTGGATCAAGATCGGCACCGAGATCGACCTGCTGCAGTGGGCAGAGTCGAAAGCCTACGGCGTCGCGCCATATGTCGCGCCGGCCTTCGACGTCTCGGGCGAGGCCACGGTGACATCCTCGCTAGGCCTGCCCATCGCCCTCGCCGTCGGCGTCATCATCCCCGTGCCCAAGTGGGACGCCACCATCGCCGTCGTCGACCGCCCGGCCATCCAGGGCGTGGCCGAGTACAGGGCCAGCTACGTCGACTTTGGGGCCGGCACCGCTGTTGGCTCCTCGGGACTCGAGGGATGCAAGGGCATCCACTACTATGCCAGCCTCATCAACGAGTTCCAGCTGCAGATCCTGGGCAAGTATAAGTACGACCTCGGCTCGTGGAAGGGGCCCAAGTTCCGCGAGGGCTGCATCGGCGACAACGGCGTCTCCCAGGTTATCGACCAGCAGTCGCCGCCCCCCGCGGGCAAGAGCCGTCTCGGCTGCGACCTGCCCAATAATGCCTTCAATGACGGCGAGTTTGCCACAGGTAGCTTCGGGGCCTGGAAGAACTGGCGCTCCGACGACAGGGCCAGCTTCAACATTGTCAACGACGATAAGGCCACCTCGGGTCCCAAGGTGATGTAAGCACACACACATAAACATATGTCCAACGGGCCATGGCTGATGAGATACAGGTCTATCCGCAAGCCGCCAAAGGACACTTCTGGCTGGACCTGCCAGTGCTCGCGCCCGCTGTTCACCTGTGCGTGCCCAGAGGACAAGCAGGAGTGGAACTTTGAGCTCTCCCAAGACATGAATGTCTGCACGTAAGTCCACCGGCCCCTGAGATCTTGTGCCTTGCCTGGCCTGGATGACAATGCTGACACGCCCCCTCCCCCGCCTCACGCCGCAGCTGGTCCAAGTTCGACTTCAACGTGTACGGGCGCGTGCTGGATAGCGACGGCGCCTGCAAGATCGAGACCCTCTTCCTCCGGGGCATCACGGACGACTCCATCAACGACGAGTATACCGTCGACAAGCTCATCATGCCTGTTACGGCCAACAACGCCGCCATGTTCCCCCTCGAAAAGCCGGTACGTTACCCCAGCGGCATTGGCGCCGCCATCTCTACGTCGTGTGTTTGCTGACTCTGATTCTGCGTCTGTAGATCGGGGTGACCGTGCCCTCGTACGATAACATGCCCATGCTGCGGTTCAACGTGGGCATCAAGATCAAGTGCGTGTCGGCGACTCGCTTTGACATTCGTCTCGATAACATGCAGTTGAAGGCTGAGTAAGTAGAGCCAGGTCTCTTCCTCCCGGAGTGAGAGATTGTCCCATGCTGAACCCCTTTCCACAGCTTTGCGGCCTCTTCTGCCATGCGGCGCGACCTCCTGGAGGACCGGGGAACTGCCGGCGCCAACATCACCCGGCGCCAGACTATCCCCACGATTCCCCAGGGCAACAACATCCCGATCCTACTCGTGCCACGCCCCACTTTTTAGGTCCGCCATTCTGCCGCACCTCGTAAAGAGGTGCTCACCACCAAAATGC